CATCACTTCGTTCAGAATCTAAAACACATAATTGTTAAATCAATACATTCATAACTCCGTTCAGAATCTAAAATCAGGAAATTGATGAAAATGAAATGTTTTTAGGAAAATTGGCTTTCTTCAATGTTTATCTTTTTCGGAGATAATTAAATAAAGAAATATATTTTTAAACTTTATTATCAAAACATTAAAATATTAAATAATTATAGTTCTTCTGAGGGTCTAATTACAAAATCAGAATTCTGATATCTCCATTATTCTGGGAGATATCGCAATGGACACATCCTTGCAAGACACTCGCTATATATATTAATATATATCAATAATTATGAAATTTAATTTTTCATACTGCTACTTYTTTTTTTTTCCTGTGAAAACCGACAACAGAGGAGGTCATACTGCTACTTAGTGTTACTGGTTTATACCTCTGTATTATTGATATATTTATATTTTAATTTTTTTTTTTGAACCAACATAGAAAAAGTTCCAGAATCCTATCCTTATATAAAATTTAGATGAAAGTAAAAAAACTATTGAATAAGATGTAATATTTTTTAATTTTAAGTTGTGCCGTTAAACTTTGGAAAGTGGGCCGGTTGTTTATAAAGAATAGTGGGCTGAAACCGTTCCAGTCTAGCCCAGGGGGGATATGGTTAATTTTTTAAAATCCACTTGATGATAATTATTTTATAAAAATATAATTTATGGTTATCACTTTATCAGATTCATTAAAAATTGAAAAAAAAGGTTCTCCCTCATACCTCCCCCCACTGGCCTAAATGTATTGATGATTAAAAATCACAATGAAATACATACGATGGACTATAACTTCTAAGTTATTTACTTCYGTTCTGTAAAATAATTACACTGTCATCACACAATCATAACAATACCACCAGTATACCACATGTCCACATACTATAATATTTATTTATTTATTTGTATAAAAGCCAAACRGYTTTTTACATATAGCAATAACAATATTTCATAAATTAACGTAAGATAAAAATAATATAAAATATAGGTAGTATAATATTATACTATTATAGTATATATAGACTATAGAGTAT